TTAATAATTAAATAAATGTATTAAAATTCTATATATATAAAGAAGACATTGATAATCCATCGTGCATCTCATTCTAATATATATTCATATATTATAAGATCAAAGAATTTATGATTTATTGTATACACACATATGTAAGTTGAAGTATATTTGTAGTATAAGTTAAGAAAAAGTATGTATATTTATATATTGAGCGGGTCGGGTCGGGGCGGGGCGGCACAGGTCAATTCTAATACCCGGACCCGCCCCATTGTATAGGCGGGGCGGGGCGGGCCCGCCCCATTTGCAAGACGGGGCGGGGCGGACCCGGCCCAAATGTCTCGGGCCAGGGCGGGTCATTGTGGGTCGGGTTTTTTTGACATCCCTAACCCCGATCCAGAGGATCAGTCCGATTAACGGTCAAAAACCTGGTTAATATTTTTCTTAAATTATGTAGTACGAACGATATGAATAAGAAAATATGTATAACGTGATTGTCTTTTGATAATTTGGTTAATTTGGCATACCATAGATCAACTCCCACACTAAATGAAATTATTGAAAAATCAAAACTACCGGGTTTGTCGGTTTCAGGCAGATTCCGGCAGGGGTTTTCGGACGGGTTTCGTGCAGGTTTTCATGATTTGCGAGTTTGGTCTTAACTGATCGACCTGGTATGCCAAGTGGGTCGACTCTCTCGGGTTGGTTCGGGTTTGATACGATAACTTTTATTTCTTTTTTGCTAGATGTATATTTACAATTCATATTATTACATTACGACAATTTCGTTCAAAAAAACATTATGACAAGTGAATTCTTATGTTGGAAATGATAAAATTTCATGATTAATTTGTATTACTCAAACATTACTTTTTATATGAGAATTATATTTTCCCGTGCATCGCACGGGTATAATACTAGTTTTGATAAAAGTTAGATATATAAAGCACTCCCTCCATCCCGAAAAGGTTGGTCAAAATTGTCTTTCACGTGAATTAATAAAGTAAAAACTGTGTGATTGAAATTTGTGCAGAGGAGAGAGGATTAACTTTAGCCGCATATTTCTTACTTTAAATAGAAATAGCAAATCTTTTTGGAACATCCAAAAAGGGAAATTTGGCCAACCTTTTCAGGACGGAGAGAGTAAAAGATTAAAAACAATTTATATTGATTGGAAAATAGTAGATGAGAACATTTACGTGGAAACAATGTATAAACTAACTTAGAAAGTACAATCCACCCCTTATATAGGAGACTATGTCCGGCCGTCGCCAATTGGGGCAGTTCCCGGTGGATTTTTTTGATAAATTTTTTTGAGCATATTATTCATTAAGTTTAGTTTATCCATACTAAATTTCAGATAAAAATTCAATCGGGAAGACAGTCAAATGATTTTTGAAATGTATTGTGCTGTTTAACTGCGTTGATGTCCAAAAAACTCACATAGTTTTTTTACACAAGTATCGGGTCCTAGGACTATTGAATTACATATCGGCATCTTTTTTTTTCAGTAACACATGCTCTTTAGATGTCATGGAGCAGAAGCGACATCATTAAATACTTTCCTTACCTTCTATGTAGTATAATAAAACTAAAACTATAAAACATCTTTTACTTGGGTAAAAAATAAGATTTCATGTGTTAAAATTTGATAAACACACATTTGTCTTAATGTTATCTCAAATTTGTGTTCACCTTTCTGATTAAGTGTATTTTGAATTAGAATCAATTTTTTGATCCGATCAATGAAAGTAAAAGTTACGGAGTAATTTTTATTGTTAATATATATTAAATATTAGCATACATCTTGATATATTTTTGCTGTGAGTTTCAAATATCTGAAAGCTTCATTAATTACATACGTAGTATATAGCAATCATACGTGATACCAAAAGTGATGTTTAAGAGCTAAATAAATAAGCTAGACTCTGTATAAATGGTAATTCTTTTACTCATGGATGTAACTTTAATATAGTACGATTTGGTCATAAAATTGAGATCATTTTTCGTTTCAAAATATGGGGTATCTTTATTTTTTATTTTTTATTGCATTGTTTTACCTACTTATGTTTCGGTTATTACCTACCACTTAACGTGAGAATCCTTTTAAAGATTTAGTTCACCCGATCTTCTAGGTAAGAATTGTCTAATATGAGTCTAAATCATTTGCAACCTTTCTTCATTCAATAACTCATATTTTAAATCAATCTAATGAAAAATAAATCAACCATTACCAATCGCATTATGAAGCCCGCCTATTATCGCCGCCAGGGCTGATCCTATATAAATTTAGGCATGAGTCGTGTTATCTAAAATATACACACTAGTTTTTACTGTATAATTCTTTTTAATCAAGTAATGTAATAAATATCACATATGTAACTAAATTTGGGCCCGGTTGATCTTTATAAAAAAATCTCACATATTATGTGTTTTTGTTGTAATATAATTTGTTCTATCAAAAATATCATCACAGAAGTAACTAACTGCATAATATCTCAATTTAAAAAAAAGTAATACTCCCTCATCCCACAATTCAGTTCATAGTTGCATTTTTTGGTCAAACTTTATAAACTTTGTTCGTGAATTATTCATTATCTACATTACTTTATATTTTTATTTTTCTTTATCAAATGTTCACCTTAAAAGTCAAACTGGGAACTGGGGAAGGGATGGAGTACATGTTTTATCTATTTCAATTGCAGGATAAAAAAATTTAATATCTGAAAACATAGATGAGAAAAGAAGAGTTCAATTTAATGAAAATATCTAAATGTATTTTCAATTATATTATAAAGATTTAAATATGCTTTTAGTCCTCGCAAATCCAACATGCTTTGTTTTAGATCCCTGTAATTTGTTTTTTAATCCCTGAAATTTATGTCCGTTTTCTTTTTAATTAGTCCATAACTAATGATAACAACATCTGCTTGACAACAAAACAATCTCGACTAACAGGTATTCTTTTACTGGTTGTCATGCCATTCAGAAAACATTTAATTTCATTTTTTGAAGGTTTTTAATACATATTTTAAATATGTGAATAATTCGTTTTAATATTGTTTTAACTCTGTTATTAGCCTCAAAAGAATTGTAAACTGACAAACTTAAATGTTTATAGTAGATTTATGCAACCGACAATAAAAAAATTCTAAGTCGAGTTGATTCGAAGTTAGAGATGGACTAAAACCAAAATAACGCATATTACATGGATGAAAAACAAAGAAAATATTTTGCAAGACCTAAAACAAAGTGTGTCATATTATTTGCAGGGACTAAAATCAAATTTAAATCTATTATGAATATATATACTCATTATCATATAAATTAATATATTCCTATAATTTTGGGGCCCCTTCTTTAAAAAAAATAGGGCCCTGAGGCACGTGCTTCAATGGCCTCCATAATAGTCATGGTCCTCATCGGCGTCATCACCTCATTAAAATAAGAATGTCACAAAATTATATATTCTGAACTCTTTTCTTAAAAAAGGAGATATAAAGAATAATTGTCTCAATTCTAAGTCCTAGAAGGGCTAATATCTTCTAAAAAGGACCACACCCACTATTAAATAAATAAATAAATCACAAAAATGTGTAGTTATTAGTTTTGAAAAAACAGTAAGCTACATATGAAATTTAATGGATGAAAATAGGCATTGAGCTTTTTGTTTAGATAAAGATGGTTGAAAAGACGAAGTTCATTTGGATGCAACAAGAGTATACTAGTGTTATAAAAAAAACGAAGCTCATTAAAAAATTTGGCTCTTTTAAATGGATAGTATAGACTGACAACATGTTTAGATAATTACTTAATACTAAGACGTACTCAATAAATAAGAATATACATTATCAACTAGTGTTATAATTGACTAAATAAGTTATTTCCGTTAGTACTAATAACTCACACATATGCCTATGCACGCACGCACATATAGTAAAATTTAAATAAAATCATTTTATCTCGTGCACGACACGAGTAAAGATACTAATTAATATTAAATTTGTATTTCATGTATGATATGTAATATTTTATACTCCGTAGTATAAAACACTTTTAGGTTTCCTTACTTTACAATTTATATTATGTTTATACTTAAGACTTGTATTTTTTCGTTTCATATTCTTTAATTTCGTAATATGTTATAGATTTATGTGTAAAATGACACACATGCATATATGTCTATACGTATATACATACATACATATTTCAACTTACTAGTGTTTTATTTTCCAATTCTGTAATATACTTCGACCTTGTACGTCTTTTTACACTCAAACAACTACCCTTAAACAACTAATTTATCAAACATTTGCTCAAGACAAACTAACTTAATCAGCCAACTAAAATAACTGACACAACCAATTATTGTCAATTTGTTATCGTAACCAGCTAAGAGTTGATTGCCAAACAAGGCCTTCATACAATTTGCATACACCATAACAAAATTTATACTATTTTAAAAGTATAATGTCAAAATAGTTATTACATTGTTATATTATTTATTTAAAAAGAATTTACCATCCTTTAAATTTAGGGAAAAAGACTTCAATAAGATTAAAACGAGTTTTTTTTCGAATTAATGTTAATTAATTAATTAATTACGGAAATAATGCTGGAAAAAAAGTATTTACCAAAATACTGCTGGCCCTTAACCACGGTCAGGGGTAAGTCGCCCAACCGTTGGGCGACTTATAAGTCGCCAAACGGTTTGGCGACTTATAAGTCGCCCAACGGTTGGGCGACTTACCCCTGAAATATGGTTGAAGGCGAGCAGCTACTGCCAGCCAGGCACGATCGTGCCTACAAGGATACGCACGATCGTGCCTATGTCCGAAAACAGCATTTCATCTAGTTTTTCGCCCCGGTTCAACCCAGACTCATCTGTTTGCTATAAATAAGGTCTCCCTTCTCCTGTTAAAGTATTACGAACTAGATACAATACATTATAAAACATACAACACACGTCTTCACAATGACCCACTCTCAACAATATTAAAAACACCTTATAAACACCCGTAAAAAACCTTCAAATCATAACCGGAATAACACAATACAATCATCATATATGCCATAACAAGTAATCATCTAATATTCATACTCGAACACATCAATACACCATACAATACTTAACAAGACAAAATACATCAAAACTTGTACATTGTTTGTACAACATCTACTGCATAACAAAAACTACAATACAAAAGACAAACTACAAGTTCTCATCATCAGCTTCGTCATGGAGATGTTGCTGCTCATGTCTACACCTACGGCGTTGTCGTGGTTGAAGAACCACTCTCTCATGTTGCGTCTGGGATGATGAAGCCGCGGCTGCACTAGATGTGGATGCCATCTCCTGAGATGGGGGCATGTGTATAAGATGTCCGTAGTCTACTCGGCCCAACACATCTGAGCACAACGAGGCAATGCCTGTCAGAGCCTGTCCATACATGTCCACATCAGGAATATCAGTCACAGTGGCAGTAGCCCGCTGATGTATGCGCTGCAAAGCTCGTGTCTGAAATATGAAACACAATTACAATTACATTCAAATACATACAAGTATTACATAAATAAAATGACTTACTTTACTAATTACTAATATACTCACCGTAAGATGCAAAGCCAAGGAGCTAGGCTGATAATGATGAGTAGGGAGTCTGAACGAAGGAGACACAAATAACCGAGTGATGCTGTAGTACCATCCCATGTAGTCTCCTGAAACAGATGGCACATATGTGGGTGTCCCAACCACAGCTAGCTCAGCTCTCCTTTCCCACATAGTCACGTATCGGACATGTCTGAGTGCCCAATCCTCTGTATGCTTCCCACGCCTATCCAGCTTATGCAGCTCTACATAAGTGTCGATAGGACGTGGAACGACCTGCTCAAACCCAAACTGTCGCATGACTCTATCAGGCAAATGCAGCTCAACAATGTCAAAACATATCAACGGGACACGTGCTCGCCAGATGTGAGTATGCTCTCGTCCAGCTGGGGGCAACTCTGCTAACATATCAGGTCTAAACGGCATCCATGTGATCTGTTTCATAAACATACAAAATTAGTAGGTGGACAGTTTGTTTTCTCCCACCCTTTCCTAACGTTCGGCCACCACAACCGGTTTCCACCTGAAATATACCTCTCCCTAAATCAAATGGAGTGACAATGTGATGCTTTGCCTTCTCTCTATTTTTTTCAATTAAATCTGTGATGTGTGGGGAGTACTCGTGGCCTTGTGTGAGCCTCAATTTACTGGTTTCACGCCTATGCACAAAGTAGGCATTAACCCGGTAAAAAGACACCTGGACCAACGCGGTAATGGGCAAATATCTAGCATTTTTCATGACGCTATTGAAAACCTCAGCTAGATTTGAAGTGATGGTACCGTATCTATACCCGCCATCGTGGTGCAGCGACCACATTTCTGGAGGAATGTTGGCCAAAAATTGGCGTGCATCCCTACTCATTTCACCTATCTTCTTGAGCCCACCATCAATTTTTTTTTTCTGATGTTGCCGTGCGGTCCACACAAAAAGATTTTTTAAATGAATGTCTTTGAAATGTGTGTGCACATTTGATGCAAGATGGCGGATGCAAAGCCTATGATGCGCATAAGGCTCCTCCCATGTACTGCCCACCTCATTCATTGCCCTGACAATACCTCCATGTCTATCTGAAATGACACACAACTCCCTGTCAGTCACAAACTGCCTAATACATGCCATAAACCATGGCCAACTATCTCCATTCTCGGATTCAACAACTGCAAAGGCGACTGGGAAAATTTGGTTGTTCGCATCACAACCCATGGCCACGAGCAATGTACCCTTGTACTTTCCATACATGTGTGTGCCATCAATAGTAAGTACGGGTCGACAATGCTTAAAACCAGATATTGAGGCCTTGAATGCCCAAAAAACTCTTTGAAACATCATATAACCTGTGGAACCATTGGGGGGTGGGTACCACTGAACAACAGTTCCTGGATTAGAATGTTGGAGCGCTGTCATGAAACGGGGCAATTCGAAATATGACTTTTCCCAACCGCCAAATATTTGTGCTATGGCCTTTTGCTTCCCCATCCATGTTCTCCGGTAAGATACCGTATACCCATATTTTTCCTTCAACATCTCGATGATAGTATGCACTTTAAGAGAAGGATCAGTGCGAATAATGTCAACCACATCTTTACAGATGAATTCTGATGTCAAGGCCACGTGATTTGTAATGTCGATGTTGCCTACACATGAAGCAGAATGAGGTCCAGTATAACGCACAATTGTGAAGGTGTCAAGGTTGCCTTTGTTCTTTGTGGCGCGTATTCTCCAGGGGCAATGACATTCTTTCTTCCTTTTGCATTGTGCCACCCATTTTTGTTTATCAGACTCTATCACCCGATAGAATTGGTTCCGTTTGATAGAATACAAGCTCACCATATTGATGACTTGTTCTTTGTTGTCAAACTGTTGACCGACCTCAAACTCACCATCGGGGGTAAACCTTTTCTCACCTGATCCACTCATCCACGCATCAGTAAAGCCTTCAGGGAGATCATACATTCTAGTGAAGTGGCTAGACGGGGCAGTTGATGTCACAGTATCACCATCATCTTCATCAGATTCTGTCATGTCGTCACCATTGATGTTCTCGTCTACATCATCATCACTTCCCTGCCCATCCACAAATGATGCACCATTGTGCAAATACCTGCCATCCTCCTGTATAACCATGTCTAGTACAGGAACCTTTGACAACTTCCCTGCATTCACCCCTGCAATGACATCATGCCTAGATACAACAACATTTGATGTCGATTGAGTAGCATTAACGTCAAAGCATTCCTCAATGTATACCTCCAGTGACGACATATCCTCCATCTGAATTATGCCCCACATATTTGTTATAGCTAGCTCATCAATGAGGGGCATAAGCATGTACTTTCCCCCGTTCATGGGAAATTTCATTTTCAACCGCAAAGAACGACTAGGATGAATTATTGTGGCTGCATGTATTTTTTGAAGGATCTCGAGCATGCAAGCGCCACGAGAAACCATGACAAAGCTGGTTCTACCACCATCATGGCATATTTGCCCAGCATCCTCGTAATAGTTCCCTCCTCAATGACACACGATTGGGAAGCTTGAGAAATCCATATTCTAATAACAATTCATTGTCCAAAATTCATGAGTACGCATCAATATACACACTTTATACACATTCAAATTTCCTAAATAAAAAAGCTACCAAAATTGTAATATATTCAAAAGTCGAAATTGACCAACAATTCACATCTCAATATGAAACTACACAAATTTTGATAACTACATTCAAGTCTACATTTCAATACCCAAATTTAGCTACATTCAAGTCTACCCAAATGCCCAAATGTCAAAATACACATTAAATTTACAATCAATTTAAAATCAAATTTCAACATTTCATACATATCCATATTTCACAACAACTTAATTCACAATCAATTCATAATCCAAAAATTCGAAATTTTTAACATTCAAAACCCTAAGTTCAAAATGAGATGAAATGGAGTTTTATTTACCTAGAAGAAAGAAGAAGGAGTGTTGCAGAAGAAGGTGAAGGTTTGCCGGAGTGGGGAGGCCGGAAATGGAGGTTCGCCGGAGTTGGATACGAGCTCGGTCGTCTTCTTCCTTCGTCTGTCGTCGGTGCGGCTTGGGGGATTTGGGGAGTGATGTTTACGCAAGGTTCTGTTTTGGGGCGTGCCCCGATTTTTACTTAAGGGAAAGTCGCCCAACGGTTGGGCGACTTATAAGTCGCCAAACCGTTTGGCGACTTATAAGTCGCCCAACCGTTGGGCGACTTACCCCGACCACGATTAATCCAGCAGTATTTTGGTAAATACTTTTAACTCAGCCCTAATTTCGTAATTAATTAATTAATTAACATTAAATAGGAAAAAAACTCGATTAGAACAATGTCTATGAAAATGTATATAGGACCCTAAGCTTTTTAAACATCAAATAGGATTAATTTTTAAGGAAGGACAAAATCACCCTTAGCTTACGAACGACGCTCCCTGGACATGTTGCTGCCAGCTTGGGGCCGGATTAGTCGCCGGCGAGAGTCATCATCCAAGTGGTCGCCGGCGGGTCTTCTTCTTCCTTTCTTCTTCTTCGTCTCATCTTCTTCCTCTCCTCCACCTCCGATCCTTCTTCTTCTTCTTTCTTCTTCCTATTCCTTTTCTTCTTTCTCTTCGTTCTTCTGAGTTCTTCTTCCTCCCTTTATCCATCTGGACGGCCTGCTATGATAGTTCGTAGCTTTTTGTTCTAATTTTCTTGTTTTATGTTTCAATTTCTTTGTTATTATTTTTCCTTTTCTAGTTTTTTACTCCGTATTTCATTTTTGTTGAATTCAATTTTCTATCGATTTTTTTTTTTTTTGCATAATATTCCTTTTGAATATTTTTCAATGAGGATAGATTGATGATTCGAACAATGTCACAATACTAGTAAATCAATGATTCAATATTAAAAACATTGTCTTTATTTTGCTAAATTATAATGTCAAAACTTATTATATTGTTTATTACAGTGTTATTAATTTACAATGACACAGCTTGTCATTGGCAATACCATCTTTACGGTTATACTACGTATTATTTTAATAAAAGCTGAAATTATTTTGACATTGTGATAATTGTTTCGTAGCATCAAAATTTTTATTTACAATGACTTAATATTGTGATATTAACACACCATGTAATAACATTATATTGTGACATTGTTTTCATTGATGACATTGTGATATTGTGATATTGTTAGAAGTGTACAAAAATATTGTAACATTGTGACATTAACATTGTATCACTGCCAAGAGGAAACATTATATTGTTGTTTTCTTTGACAACGTTGTGATATCTGTGACATTGTATCATAACATTGTGACAATGTCGTGTGACATTGTGATTATAACATCGTGACATTATTAATATTTGACATTATTTTCATTGATGACATTGTCATGTGACATTGGAACATTATGTAATGAAAATATGACATTATAATCCGACATTGAGATATTAACGTTGTGTCCTTGTCAAAAACTGACATCATAATAATGAGTAATAATGGCAATGTCAAATGTCAATGTCAATGATTATTGCAACAATGACAATGTCAATACCCAATGTCGATGACAATAACAATTATGACAATGTCATTACCAAATTAAATTTATCAGTGTCATAATCTTTGAATCATATCAATATGGCAAAAAATGTCTAAATATTAAAAGTGGTATCAATGTTAGAGCAATTTTAATTTTGTAAAAACTAGTGCTGGACTCGGGCCGGGCGGCCCGAACCGGAACCGGCCCGGCCCGGTTACTGTGTGAACCGGCCCGGCCCGATGGCCCGGTCCACCGGCGGTTCGGGTCGAACCGGCCCGGTGGATACCGGTTCCGGGCCCGGGCCCTCTATTTGGTGAACCGGCCCGGCCGGTTCGGGCCCGGTCCGGGCCGGAATATTTTTTTTTTAATTTTTTTTTGATTTTTTTTTTTTAATTTTTGGGTTGGATTAGGTATTTTGGGCCATTTGAGGTGATTTGGGGTGGTTTGGGGTTGAGGGGGAGGGGTAGGGGGTTAAATAAGAAAAGCCAAAAAATAAAAAAAAAATGGGGCGGGTGAACCGGCCCGGTCTGGCCCGGAACCGGTCACCTGCCGGTTCGGGCCCGTGCCCTCCTTTTGGTGAACCGAGGCCCGGCCGGTTCAAGGCCCGAACCGGGCCCGGCCCGAACCGAGTCCAGCCCTAGTAAAAACATGTTAAATGTCACAATGAGAAACAATAAATTTTGTATAAAGATGTCATATTATCCAAAAAACATCACAATGTCAAAAAGTGTCACTAAAAAATCATAAATTTTGATTGCATGTTACATATTATGTCACAATGTCAAAAACTCAAAATATCACATAACAATGTCAAAGTATCGCAATGTCATCAACGAAGATAATGTCACAATGTTAACATCACATTATTGCACCACAATATCACAATGTTAATATCGCGATATCACATGACAACATCACCATTGTGTCATATCACAATGTCACAATATCACATGATGTGTACTTACATAAGGTCGTATCACAATGTCACAATATTACATGACAACGTCACAATATCTCGATCAATGTCATCAACAAAAACAATACCACAATATCACAATGTTAATGCCGCAGTGTCACAGTAAATACACAATGTCACATGACAATGTAATAATATCACAATGACATCATAAAAAACAATATCACAATGTTATTAAACAATATAATGCCAGAATATGAACTCATTGTCAAATAAAAGTTTGAATGTTACAAAACCATTCATTCATAGTTGAAAATCAATGCCATTGTCTAGGGTGCTGTTCTGTTCGTCTTATTACTTATTACTTATTCTTATTTTATTCAGATCAGATCAGATCAGAAAAATTCAGATCAGATCAGATCAGATCAGAAAAATTCAGATCAGATCAGATCAGAAAGATTCAGATCAGATAAAAAACATTCAGATCAGATCAGATGAGAAAAGTTCAAACATGATTTATCACTTTTATTATTATATTAATTATTATTATTAATATTGTAATTATACTTATAATTATATTATAATTAAAATTTATGATTATAATTTTTTTTAATTATTAATATTATTATAATTATTACTATTGTAATTATTTTACGGAGTAATTATAATAATATTGATAACTATAGTTACAATTATAGAGATAAATATTGTAATTATAATTACAATTATAATTATATCTATATTTATAATTAGTGTAATAGGTATAATTTTTTTCATTTTAAATTTAATTTTAATTATTATTATTATTATTATTATTATTGTTATTATTATTATTATTATTATTATTATAGTTACGATTATGATTATAATTGTATTTAAATTATATTTGTAATTGCAATTATAATAATTATAATTATAATTATAATTATAATTATAATTATAGTCATAGAAATATTCAAATCAGATCAGAAAGATTCAGATCAGATCAGAAGGATTCAGATCAGATCAGAAACATTCAGATCGGATCAGAACAGATCAGAAACATTCAGATCAGAACAGATCAGATTAGAAAGATTCAGATCAGAAAGATTCAGATCAGATCAGATCAGAAAAATTCAGATCAGATCAGAACTTAAGAGAACAACTTTTAGGGCTCTAGAAGAACAACAATCAAATACTCCGTAGCAGATAAAAATCAAAACATACAGTACATAATAATAGGAATATAACTAAAGAAATAAAATTACTTAAGCTTCAACTTACGTGAAACAAAATCGGAAACCATCAAATGTGAAAAGTCAATTTGAGATTTGAATAACGAAATACGGAGTAAGCAAAAAGAAAAAAAGAAAAAAAAGACGATGCAATGTCTATTTCATGGTGCTGCCGCCGATCGATCCTAGATCCACAAAAGGATCGATTGTAGGTCCCCCAGAGAAGAAGAAGATTGCCAAATTTTAGGTCCGCAAATCTGTCGCACCTTCGGCCGCAGCTGTGTCGCTGCGGTGTCTATTTCGTTGTGCCGCCGCCGCCGGGTATTTTCTCACATCTGTAGCGCCGCTACGTATGCCTCAGCTCCTCCATCCAGTCCGTCAGTCTTCCGGCATTGAGGTGGGTTCCTGTGGGTTTAGTTTAATCGTGACCGAAGAGAAGAGAGACAGAATATAAGACCGGATGAAGATATTGGCGAGAAAGAAATAGAAGGGTAAAGAGGTCTGAACATATCAAATATGTTCTATTTACGGTTTAAAAAGAAGTAGGTCCTATTTAATCACATCAACTTATTTTTGGTCCTATCTACGACCATTTCTCTTAAATTTATTTTTGAATTTACCGTAAAATATAAATATTTCCTTATTATATTATTCCCTCCGTCCCGAAATTAACTTCTCACTTTCTTTTTCGGGCAATTCCGAAATAAAGTTTAACTTCCTTATTTAGCAAACAAATCTATATAAAAATAGTACAAAACAGTGCAAAGCACTGTTAAACAGTAAAATTTACTCCTCAGTAAATTTATTTTCCTAATATGTGTGAAATCAAAGTGTAACGGTAGTTATGGGACTTAGGGAGTATTAAATAAATGTCAATGTTTTATACGTAGTATTATTGCCTTGTATTTTATTTTATACTATCCTCCGTCTCTTTTTAATTGCAACATATTGACTTTTTGCACTGTTTACATTATCTACATTGACTACATTTTACACTATTATTTTATGGAAATTATTTTTTTTAAAAAATAGTTTTAAATTCATCCCATTACAAATTTTCAAAATCTGATTTTTAATATTTTTTTATTAATAGAGATTAAGATATACTTACGGTCAAATGTGTGTGTTGGCAAATATGCAAAGGTTGACTGTTGCAACTAAAAAAGAACGGATGAAGTATATTTGACACGGCACTAACCGGACTATTACTCTCAAAAATTAAAATATAAACCTTTTTTCTAGTTTAGAGTGATAATTGGAGTTTCTTTGACTTGAAGAACCTATTTGGCCCATTACCCTACTTTTTTGTGGAAATTACTCATACGGTCCACTTTTATATGTCATATACTACGTATCATTTATAGCCCACCTGTTTTTTCTTTTCATTTGAATCTTTTCTCTTTTCAATTATGTTTTTCTGTTTCACTTTTGGACTTCTGCCCTCCTCATGGATCACGGAAGAGAGAGACGCAAAGTAAAATCACGAAAACACAATTGGGAAAGCCGCTGGGAAGCTTGAAGAGCGACAACGAGATCCAACCATCTTCCTCCATAAGAAGGCCAAATTGCTCGCGATTCTGCTCTAAAAATGGCTCTTGAGCTCGGCGAAGAGTCTCCGGCAAGGAAGATATCGTGCACGATAGAGAATACTAGGGAGGCTGACGAGACGCTGTGCAACCCCGGCGACGAAGAGCCCTTTGCTAACAACGATGTGGAATAAATTCAGCAGAATGTTTCGAAAAGATCTAATTCCTAAGGTAATGATAACGACATCCCGATTGAAATCCATAAGGAAGCCTTCCTTCATGTCCGATTTGCTCTCTGTTATTCTTAATGCTTAGTATCACCACATGACCTAAAAAAGATAATTGAATATGCCAAAACAAGGGATTTCACATTCATCATATTTGTACACACTAATCGCTGGGAATCAGATGCTCTGCTCATAATTGGTTTTCTTGATGGACCTACTACTCATTTCAAGCTCTCCAGGCTTGTCTTGCGTAAGGACATTGTGTATTTCTTTTCATCTGT